AAGTTTCGGATAGTATTTGTAAAATATCTGTAAAAAATGCGTAGCCAAAAATTTGTTTGAGCTCCTATTCTCAAATTTTAGTGATTTGTGACTCGTTGTGCCTGCAATAATTAGAAAATATGCTTTTAGCGGAAGCGATGAGATACATTTATCCGGCAGTATACAGTTCACAATTTCCAAAACACTTTGTTGAGCGTTTTCCGTTTCTGCAGCAACTAACGTCAAGAAGGAAATACGGCTCCACGAAAACTTCGAGAACATCAACTATTCAGTGGTTTGCATCGAAAGGAGGCCATAATTTTACCGATTTCGCAAAAAGCAAAAAATTTGGAAAAGGCACGTATCCACGAAGAAACTTTTGCAAATTTAGGGCCCCGCTGGAAGTCAGCCATTATTTACTAATTCAAAAGCAGTGGGTAGTAAGCTGTTTCGGAGGCAGTCAGTCTCTCTACGAAATGAAGTTCCGATAGGAACTGAGGCTGCCGCTTCCCAGAAGGACAACGCTTTTTAGCGACCCTTACGGAAAGAAGCCACCGGTGTAATTGCCGGTGAATGTCATTTTGCTGGCAAATGCTGCCACTCGGCTAATTTTCGAATGCTCTGATCCCGTAGAGAGCGAAAGCAGAAAGTTTTTGTAACTCTGCTTCTTGAATAAATAGCCATCTACAGTCAGTTGATGCTGCCAAGGCACTACTACTCAGGGTGCTCAAAACTGACTCTCTCCTCTCAAAATGAGTGACGTGACTGAGTGGTCGTAAACCTCTCAATGAACAGGGCAAACTCAAAATGGTGCATTTTGATTTTGAATTCAAGAATTTTTGATTTTAATATCACACTGCTACGGCAGATGTCTATTCGGATCTAATCGCTCCGCAGATGCGAATATCAATCTATACAGAGACGTGGATGAATGGCGCTGGTGATTTGCCTTCCAGATGCGCCACACAGTACAAGGTATGCCTTCTAAAATTTGTGTACAACATCAGTAACTTCCAAAAGTTGTGTGCTTCACTCCTCTCATGCCACCCACAAAAGTAGCAGTGTTCCCGTTCTCATCTTTTCGTAGAGAACGAACAGAAAATTTGGTATACTTGGTTCTTGCCCAGCATTGTGCAATGATGTAGGGCTGCTGTCATGCTAAGACTTGGCATTTTGTCTCCGACAGCACGGCAATCAATTCCTCTACGATCCTTTAGTCGTTTCGATAGTAAATTGCTACTGACGCACAGAGATCAACTGCTAACATCTTCTTGGCAAAGAAGCTCTGGAAAAGAGAGTCATCGACAGCCGTACCAACACAAGGCTCTAGCTGACAAATGCTACCCCACCTTCATTTCTCAAGCGGCGTGAATTATGGATAGATTTTGGACCAATTTTGACCGATATTTTCGTCACTTTCAGGTAATCAACATCGAAAAATTAAACATCGGAGGCACAGCGTTCGCAAACAGTCACGACCATTCAAAATGGGCCGTTGCTATGGACTCCAGCGAGCCTGTGCTATGCATCGGTGACATAAATAGACAGGTCAGTAGCCAAAATGAACATGGGATATTTCTGGGTTGCAGTATGCTGATGACGTACTACCGAACTAGTGGTTCCGGGTTTCAGCGCTAATGAGATGTCCCAGGCCTTTCATCCTGAATTGCTTGTTGAATCCAACCACAAAATACATTCATTCAGAATCTGATGGACGTTTTACTTCTTTTTAAGATGAAAATTCATAAAAATAGTATCGAATGCTTCAAGATGCTGGTGCCAAGCAGTGTAGCGCAAACTGTGTGAGTAACCAATTGCCGAAATCTTGAGCTTCTAACATGGCTCATTTTGGACTCGTCTGAATTTGAACTTGAGACCGCTGCTCAAAAAAATTTGACTTTCACTTTTGCACTGGAAATACTGCGACCAGCTGCAATTCACAGTGCACTTCTCCAATAACGCAGCTAGCATATTCCGCAGTTGCACTGTCCAATGCCAAATCGCCTGACATGTTAGTTATTTTGATTCAAATCATTTAGTACAATAATGCAGCAGGAAGTGTATTCCTTTTGCAGGACTCACAAGCAAAACGTGGTGGCGGAGCAGTATGCTTTGAAAACCAGCATATATGGTCACTCTATCACAGCTCCATTGTGGATTCCCAAAAGTGTAGCGTGAAGAAGCACAGAAACAGAGCAATTTCACTGGCCAGGAATTTGGACAGAGTTTCGAAAACACTATCCATTAACAGAAACCAGCGCAAGAACACACTGACAGGAACCACAGTAAATGATCTGTTGATAATTTGATAAAAAAAAACTGAAGCGTGAAAAAACCTATGAAAACTCTTGAAAACTAACAGTCTCCTCCTCTCTTCTCTCAAACTGACGAAAAAAGTGTTTTTAAAGAACTTAATAATGCTGTAAACGCAGCGGCAAATGTGGGATATCAACTGATTTAGAAAGCATGCCAACACTTATTAAATAATGAGGACTCTCATCGACCGGCTACAGCAGAACTAGGCAAGTCAAGTATATAGGAGCGGTACTCACAGCGCCGTCTCAAAGCTCTCGGGAGAAGCCGGCGAAAATTCACCACATTCCGATACCACGGAACGCTGCGGAAGTTTCGTGAAAATCAGGGAAAATAATGAGACCACCACAGGCAGAGAACATTACCACCGATGGCACTGCGGGAGCCCGGTACGAATCCGATCATAACACAGTGAAGATAAGGTTTAGATTCTCTCGACCTGCTCTCCATATTTACGAAAGCGACTTTTTTCCGGGCAAACGCATATTC